GCAGCACACAGCAAGTCCAGCCCATCCACAGAAATGTCAGACCTCTGCATGTGCTCGGAGGCCACGTCCCATGTGTTCAAAACAATGTGGAGGCCTCCACAGCATGCTTGATCAGCCGTGATGGAGGAGACCCGATAGAATGGGGAGCCAGAGGGAGTTCACCCACAGTGCTCTATCTCCCATGGCACCTGTGGGTGTGCATACAACTACATTTAACATAGAATTTCTGCCCTAGAAGTCCCTTACGAAAATATAGTGTTCCTAACGTGGAAGTGAGCTAACCCTCCTCCTGATAGAATAGTGCATGCCCGGTACTAGAAAAATGCTGTGCTAAAAACAGTCTATATTTGCATCTGTAATACCGCCTCCTTTACTAGCATTTCTCATTGCTGACTCTCATCTCAGCTTCTTATTCTCCCATCTGACAGTGATCAATGTTATTTTCTTGAATTAACCAGTTTTTCATTAATGATATAATATCAACCAGAGAAGGGAAGGTAGAGAGTACAACAGTGATACAACTTTTTCTCCGCAAGGAAGAAGCATTACCTGGAATCCATCAAGGACATCTAATGAGAGGTGATGGAGGAAAATAAGGGAAGGAAGATTTCCTCACAGGGAGGTTTTAAGTAGAGTCTGGCAATGATCTCCCAAAGGAAGTAGTGGAAGTCTGGTCACTTAAATCAATTAAAACTAACCAGAGCATCGCACTCCAATGGACACTGTTAGGAGAAAGGCAGTGTCAGACTGAACTATAGCAGATTTCACATGCTTATTTTGTGCAGAGCTGCTGTTTGTATTTTGCCAGTAAATTCAATATGGCTAATGCTGATTAACAACTCTCTTGATGGTGATTATATCATTGCATTATTTCCAGACCATTCCTCAATACCATAAACTCATGAGGACATGGACGTACGAAACACGTCCCCTGCCTTGGCTAGCTCCATCTGAAAGACAACCAGCAGATAAAGGGCTGGAGAACTTTCTTTCACCTTAGCGGTGGTCAGGCTTGTTATCACCACAACGCTGAATTGACATAGACCTCCACACCACATGCTCAGCATGGTGTACCTGTGGCAGCACAGAGAGGCAAGAGCTGCACGTGGACCCCCGGTGCTTGATCTCTTGGATAGCTGTAGAGCAAGATGTTCCAGGTGGCTTAGGTAGGGCTGCAGTACCCGTGTCTTCTGTGCGCTAGGTGTGCAGAAGGGTTTTAATGTGTACAAGACCAGCTGGGGACAGGAGCAAGACAAAGTGATTCATCCTTAGACTTGGCGGGCTGTTTGGCATGTTTCAGGTACGCAAGAGAAGTCACCTCCTGGCCTGCCTCGAAAGATGAGGGAAAGCCAGCCTCCAAGAAGCTGACATCTTTGCTTTGCTGTTCTTGTCTGCATGGGCATTGTTTTGTATGTACCTTTTACCTGCTCTCTGCCTGGTTTTCTTGTAGCCAGTCATTTCCATTTAAACAATAGAAATGGGTAGAAGTTGGAATAAGGCAAATGTTCAGAGGGCAGGGAAACAGGGCCTTGGCATCTAAGCTTGGGAAAGGTGGAGGTTTCCACAAATTGACCTGTCTACTTAAACATTAATTTATATGGAAAATAAGGTTTAAAGGCAAACAAATTTTGGACATAGAGCATCTTATTTACAGTAGGGGAAAAAGTAAACATGTGTTTTACCCATCCAGCAAAGGTCTCTCTCATGTGTAAATGGAGACTGTTATATCAGAGAAATGATCTGTTTCCTTCTGCAACACAGATCAACTTGGTTTCACTGTTTTCACTGGGATGCATCAGTCAGGTCACATCATTTTAAAAGACTGTTTTTACTTCTTCCTACAGAAATGCGTGTGTGATGGTAATACACGCAGCTTCGAAGCCTTTTCTTTCCCAGTATGCGGTGTTTGTAGCCACGCTCCAGCGCATTGATTCCAGCCTTCTTGCCAGAACGCATCAGATGCGGGCGGTCCCAAAGCTGGTGGAGCTGAGGCAGGGGACCTGTCATGGGAGTCGAATCAATACATAGACAGCTTCAGGCGACAGAGATTGTGCTAGCTTTCACACTTGGCAGCGAGCTTTGCATCCGTTTGTTACCAAAGTTATCGTTTGTGCAGTTTCAAGCGTTGGCACTTGAGAGATTCCTCCCTGCAGGCAATGACAAGCACCCATTGCTTGAAAAGAAACTTTCCCCCTCTGGATCTGAAGATTGTGAGAGTGAGGGAAGTTGAGTCACTGGGTAGGATCTCATAAGGAAGGCAAGGTGCATGTTTGACCAGTGTTGTCATCATCCCTCACTTGAGGCAAGTGCTGGGCATCGTGGGGAACCCACGGCACAGTCTTAGGCTCTGCTTCCGATCCATCCAGCACAGAGCAGCTGTAACAGCGGTTTTGCTGCTGTTTGTTATCACAGCGGTATATTGGGAGCAAAAACCTGAGTCAGCGTGGGAGAGAGCCTTGCTGTGGGGTGGTATGAGTCAGCCCGAGGCTCTGCAGCATGCCTGCTATGAGGCGAGGGACAGGCAGGTGAAACCCTGGCCCAGCACAGAAAACGGTTTTAATTTGCTTTCCAGTCATTCCACCTAGTGGCCAAGTGACACAACTGCCAGGAGAGCTGGGTTTGTGCTCCAGAGTCCTTCCTCATCAAAAGGGGCCCACAAACCCCAGATGGTATTTATGGCTGCTCCTGCAGACGTATGCTGCTGCTGAGCGTAAAAGATGTGTAGGAATATGTAAGCCCCCACACTGAAGATCTTATCAAAGGAAAATATTGGCCTGCGAGTAGCTCATTAAGTTCCTGAGCAATTTTGTTAATCATGCTGCATAGATAAAATGCAGATAGGCCTTTAGTGAGCTGATAATCTAACAAATAGGCAGAAAGTGTAACACTGATAAAGCAGAGATCGTTTTAATAGCCAGCTGTAAATCTAGGCAATTCTGTACCAGAGGCATATTGTAAAACAGGAATGTGCAAGCGTGTAAGTATGTGCCTGAAAATGCCCTGTTTCTTAAAATAGCGGATACAGCAGTAATACTATGTATGGAAAAACTATTGGGAGCAATTTTAGAGGTGTTTTAAAATATTTTTCTCTCCATCAAAGTCTGCACCGCTTCTGGTATCTTCATAATCCAGCATCACAAGTGCAGATCTATGAATAACAAAGGCATGTTTCTGGAAGTCAGGCTTTTCTATAAAAATCTGTGAGTTCTGACACTGGTCCTGAGGCAGCGTAGGAAATTTGTAGGCTTTTCATTGGAATGAATCAAATTATTCCCTCAGATTTAGGCTAATCACGAAATAGACCGTCACAAATTCATGGCCTGATGTATCACCAACCTCTTGAGCAGCTTCTTGCTCAGTGGCGTTAATTCACTTGGCAGGACAGGGAAAAGCAGCTCAGCTTCAAGGTATCCTATAGCTACTGGATGGGATATCCTTCTGAGGAGCTGGGAAACGTAAGTTTGAATCCCCACAGCCTGGGTAAAGGCACCTGGTCGCCTACTTTCTAGGTCCCTCTTCTGTTCTTTAGGCTATTTTACAAAAAGGGGACAGCTCTTGTTCGCTTTAAAAGAAGAAACTGAGCTGGGAACACCTACCAGAGACACCTACAGCCAGAAGGAGGTTGTGGGCTGTGCAGCCAACCTCACTTAGGCATGCAGGTGTTTCGCTGCTCTGAATCCCACCTAGATGCCTGTCCTCAGTATGCAAAGCACAGGGAAATCAGATTTCTGAATACCACTTGCAAGCGAGGCAAGAAGGTGTCTTGGTGAATCGAAACTGAAGTGACTTGCTAGGGTCATGTAGAAGGTGGTTGGTGCAATGGGAAATTGCGTTGTGGTCAAATCACTGAATCTCCTTGGGGAGAAACCTGTATCCTTGATGGTGAGCCCCGGTTTTGAGGCAGCCACTTGCTGCTTCATGAAGAACAGAGTACCTTTCCAGTACCTTTGTGTCCTGCCCGTTGGGGGAAAAAATGCAACAGAAGTTAGTGCCAGTGCATTTTTGGTCAAAAAAGAGACAGTGTCTATAGTTTACCATGTAGCTTAGCGAGTTCCTTGATACTTACATGTGAAGATATCACTGTAAAAAATCTGGAGGGAGAAAGTGTATATTTTTTAATATATGATATGTGAATATAAAGTATGGATGATATGATAAGAAAAAAGGACGAGTACTGGTGCGTAACTCAGACCTGGAACAGTCGGTTGGAGACAACTCTCCTGGAAATAGTTGTTACTCTTTCAACAAAGAAAATGGTGGAAACTTAAGTACTGAGGGGGAACTCGAAGTTATTTGTGTCACTTGAACTGTGAATGTGGATGTCTTTCCTGTTAGCTGTACCTTGGACTCACTAAAAGCAGGAACAGTATGAGGAGAATAATCTCCATGGGATGGAGAAAAGAGCTGTGCAGTCAGTACTTACCTATTGCTTAGTCAGCAATGGCTTGCAAAAATTGGTGAAGTAAAAAAGAAACTGGTTTGCTCTTGAAAGAGGCAGAAGGATTTTTCTGTTGGATTTTGCTATAATATTAAAAGTTTCGTTCCCACAACACTTTGGGGATTTAAGTGGTATCTTAAGCTTGAAACCACTGTTCACCAGAGCTTCCATCAGGGCAGAAGAATCAAAATTGAATTGGTACTTTCATGGTAGTGTGTTGCATCACAGTTAAAATAAGATCCATCCAACAGTTATCAGTATCCACACCAGTCTGGTTTTTTAAGTCTTTTATTAGAGCAGAGGGTTATTTCATAGGTCTTCAAGATATTTGGGAAAAACAGTACTCAGCTCAACCTGTACAATGATGTACAGGAGCAGCATAAAGGGAGCAGTGCTAGTTACTGGATGTAACATCATTGCTGGCATGATAGAAGAATAACTGGTACTGTGTAATATTTATTTCTGGATGCTAGATCTGTTAGGTTGTCTATGCAATGGAGGACTTGGGATGATAGCAAGAGCTGATTGTAATGCTGGCAATTTCCCTCTCTTCTTTTTGCAGGTCACTGTCAGGGGATTTGGTCCATTGTTACAGTTTGCCTACACTGCTAAGCTGTTACTCAGCAGAGAAAACATCCAGGAGGTCATCCACTGTGCTGAATTCCTGCGCATGCACAACCTGGAGGACTCCTGCTTCAGCTTCCTTCAGACGCAGCTGCTGAACAACGAAGATGGCCTGTTCCTGTGCAAAAAAGATACCACCTGTCAGCGCATGCACGATGAGGAGAACTCGGATGGAGAAGAGGAGGAGACGATGGAATCGGAGACGTCAAAAATATCTTGCCCAAGAGAGAGGATGCACCAAGAGCCCTTCAATTTTGAAACCACTGTTGCTGGAGCAGACAAAGGCGAAGGGATGCTGCCTGACTCTGACATGCTGAGAGACAGCAAGGACAATTTGGACAAAGATGCAGTAACGCGGTACCCCAGATACAAGAAATACCAGCTTGCTTGTACCAAGAATGTCTACAACACATCACACATCAGTACCTCAGGTTTTGCAAGCACATTCAGCGAAGAGAGCTCTGGAAATGGCCTCAAATCGGGACTTGCTATGGGGCAGATAAAAAGCGAGCCTCAGAATGAAGAGAACGATGAAGAAAGCATCACACTTTGCCTGTCTGGAGATGAACCTGACATCAGGGATAAAGAAGGGGATGTTGAAATGGACAGGAAACAGCCAAGCCCCACTTGCGTTGACAGGCCAAAAAGTGGGTCCTCTCCTTCTTGCTTGCGGTCTTTCTTCAACAGAACAAAAAGCATAGATTTGGTTGGCTTCCCCAGCACTTCCCAACAGCACTTTGGCAGGAGTCCAGCATGCTCTTTTGAAAAAGGGACAACTCAGGGTGACCACAAAACTGATTACGTCCCTTTCACAGGGAACTATGGACAGTCACATGCCATGCAGAAGGATGCTTCCAACTTCACAGTGGGATCGCCACTCAGGGGGCCCGGCTTTGAAACTCTCTGTAAGCAAGAAGGGGAACTGGACAGGAGGAGTGTTATATTCTCTTCAAATGCTTGTGACCAAGTAAACACTTCGGTGCATTCATATTCTGGTGTGAGCAGCTTGGACAAAGACCTCACTGAGACTGTGCCAAAGGGTCTGTGGGCTGGTGGTAGCCAGTCTCTCCCCAGCTCTCAGACCTATTCGCACAGCGGACTGACAGCTGATCACTTGCCGGGAAGGATGCGGCCGAACACCAGCTGTCCGGTGCCAATTAAAGTTTGCCCTCGCTCTCCTCCTTTGGAAACCAGAACCAGGACCTCCAGCTCGTGCTCTTCCTACTCATACGCAGAGGACGGCAGCGGCGGCTCTCCCTGCAGTCTGCGTCTTTGCGAGCTCTCCTCTTCCCCTTGCTCCCAAGGCCCCCGATTCCTGGCGCCTGAGCACCAGGAGCCTGGCGTCGTGGGGGATGGATTGTACAACCCAGTCCGAGCCCAGATTAAATGTGAGCCATCCTATGGAACAAACTCCAGCGATGAGTCTGGGTCATTCTCAGAAGCAGACAGTGAATCATGTCCTGTGCAAGACAGAGGGCATGAGGTAGGGATTTAAGATAAGTACATATATCGCAGTTATTGTGACCCAATTAATCGCTCCTTGATTCTCTCGAATGACTTGGCATTTCCCCAGCACTTTCTTTGTTTATAGAGGCAAAGAGTAATTTCTGTTAATTCCCTCATCAGCTGAGGGCGCGTGGTTGACTTCATGTAAATAGATCTGCTTGACCTCCGAGGTGTGTGGCACTTACCAGAATTTGGGTATGGGACAATAGCAAACTGCTGAATGATGAATGAGAGCACAGTGATGTGCTTAGGAGTCTGCTAGCAGTGTCCTGTCCTCTTCTCTCCCTCACCCACTTGCATGGCATAAAGCACTGCTCCTGATCCTTAATTTGCAGAGGTGGGTCCAGCTCCGCTTGTTATTGCTTCTTGTGTGTTTGAGCAACCTCAAGCCGTGCCTTCGCTGACACCGAGGGTCGGGCAGCCTGCTCGAAGAGTCCCTGCTGCATATTGCTAACAGCCCAAATAGAGGAGGCAGACGGAGTGGGAGGAGAAGGAGGTGTGAAATGACTTGAACAGTTGCATGGCTGGCCACCCTTGGCTGTGGAAATGGTGTTCAAGTCATCTTCCGTCTCTCAGAGGGGTATGTGTGTGGGGGGGTGTGTGTCTCACACATGCAGGTAATGGGGTTTGCCTTTATTAAGTGACAACTGAGATAATGTTGCCTGCCCGTGACCCCACTTTGGTGGTGAGCTCTAGCAGCTGTTGCATAAATGGTTTCAAACAGAAGTTATCTTTTCATTTCCAAGACTGTTAGGAGAATGGCAGGGGACAGTCTGGGACTGAAGAGCAAGCTGTGAATTTCCATGCACAGGAGGGAGGAGAAAGAATGCCTACTCTAAAACTAGAGATGGGCCAGCTGGAGATGCTGGGGTGTTAACTGGCTAACTTGATTGAATAAACTGTGTGAAGTACTAGTTTGAGGGAAGACTTAAATCATGGAGATGTGTTGTGGACCCAGAAACTGAAAAAAGACTGGATGTTTTCAGCATCTCATTAGGAAACTGCATGACCTGGATAGCATCTGAGTGAAATCATTATCTGGCTTCTCTAGTAATGCTGAAATGCTTCACTGAGAGCTTGTGCTTCAGCACAGGGAGCAGCAAGTGCAAGGTTGGGCAGTTCACGTGCTGTGAGCACTTAGTTCGGAACCAGGTGGGCTTAGGTGTGGGCTAGGGATGAAAAGAGTGAACATTATTTTATCCCTCAATCTTTATTCCAACTACATCCCAGGCTCTGGACCTTTCAGACAGATGTGGGTGGTTCCTTTAGTTGGTTGCTAGCTCTAAGGACGGGCTGAAAAGCCTGGGGAGCCTCTGGTGTCCTAATCCCTGTCACGCTGTACCAGTGGTTCTGGTTTGTCCCCATGTCCAGAGCTGGGGACAATGCAGAAGGGTGAGGAGTCTCCTTGGGAGGCTGCCTGGGATACTGTGCATAGAACCTCATTCGGGAAGGCCTACAGCAGAACCACTCTGCTTGGCCATGCCAAGGTTACTCAGTGAAGTCCTGCCTTTACAAGGGGTGTCAGGGAACCGGGAGTGGGACCGAGAGGAGCGTCGGATTTCAGCCCATGTGTGATGCTTGCTCAGCAAGGGCTAACGCGCAGCGTGAGGCAGCGAAGAGGGCGCGAGGTTAGCCTTTTGGGGTTTGGTGATTAATTAGCTGTCGTAATCGGCTAATTGTGTGGAGATGCTGCAGCAGAAATGAGCCTGGAAGAGTCAAATGAGAAGGTTATAGGGGACTGATGGTGGTTTCCCGAAGAAAGTATTTGACTGTGTGCAGGAGACAGTGGATGAGAGGATGGACATTCACGAGAGGAGCAAATGGGTGGGCTACAGGAGGCCATCTTGGTGTGCTGCCAGCAGGCAGACCTGTCTGGCTTGGGGCAGAGCTAGGAAGGATTTGCTCCACTCCTGGTTTTGCTGCTACTTTCCTCCCGAGAAGAGAATTTTTTCTGCACTGTTGTGAACAAGTTTTCTCCCTGGGACTGCTGATAAGGCTTTTTTTTTTTTTTTTTTTTTTTTTTTAGGGCATTTTGATTAGGACTGCTAAGGCATTTAAAATGTGGTGAGGAAATTAGTGCTCCATGCGGTTGCACTGCACTATCCTGAATAAGCCAAGGTTAAACAGAACACACCAGTGATACGGTATAGATTTTGTCTGAAAAATGAATTTGTAGAGGTTGTTACCAATACAAGAAAGGACATTACAGCCTCATTAAACAATGTTGTATTTATACAGCTACTTGGGGTGTGTATCCTGCAATCCTGCAAGATCTGCCACTGTGGAAACCTCAGTGAAGGATATGTTAAACCAGGCAGTAGAAAATACTTAATAGCAGCAGGAAGTTCTTGTAGAAGTCGCTCTACCTACTTTTAGCAGTTTGGCTGCCATTAAAACAGCAGGAGAGACTCACAGCAGTCTGAAATGGACTGCTTTCTGTCCTTCCCCTCCCTGCAAGCTGCATGGGAATCTTTCTCTATTCCCAAAATTGTGTTTGCCCTTGCTGACCTGACAACTTCCCAGACGGGTCCCTTGCCCTCTGCCATATCAGATCACAATGTTTGCTGGGCTTCTCTTCAAAAAGCACCTGATAAGATAGCTGGGGGCGGCACACAGGCGCTCACCCCTCCAGAGAGCAGCCATGCAGGCTCTTCTGCTGCAGGTGGGCTTGTGTTTGGGTGGGACGGCCTGATGGGAATAAGCCTGATGGACTCTGACCCTTGCTTATCTCATGGGGCTGCTCAGTTCCCCTGGAATTTGGACCTTGTTGGTCTTGATTTGGGTCCTGGAATGCTGTCGGTGCCAGAATTAATGTGACAAAACATCATTTGCTGGTGTATTGATTGTGTGAGAAGTAGGTGAAAGGCTTCTCTCTGCTTTCTTTGGGCACTCTGCTTTCCTGCAGATGGATACCATTCAAGAGTATTGCCCAAGTTGTTTGGTGCCAAAAGTGGGGTGCTAGGACTTTGGATGAATGCCATGTGGGTGAAGGTGACTTCACTCTGTGGCCAGCCTCCTTGTCCCATAGGGTGTGTAGACTGCAGTTGCCAGTGTCAGAGGAGGTGGTGGTCCCTATAACACCCCTGGTAAATCCTCTCTGGGATGTCTCTGCCTTTCGTTTTCCTTCCTGTTAAGAGAGCCGCTTACAATCTTCTGGGAGTTCCCTTTCTTAAGGCTTCGTGATAGAAGCAGCAAGTACAATGTGGGGTGTCCCCATGTTTCAGGAATGGGGCTGTTACTTGAGCTGCTGGGACTTTGCAGAAATATTTAACAGTTTGTGTTACTTTTCTCAACAGGTTGTTAAAAATCAATTATAGGGATATAGTACTAGAAAGGAGACTTATGCTCAGTGCTTGCATGCAGGTTCTGACAGTCCTGCTTAAAATAGCAACAACAAAACAATAAGCCCTGAAATAGTGAATTGTTGAGAAGGAAGTAGTCTGTCAATCTGTTAACCTGCTTTGGAACAGAAACTTCAGCACTGCCTACTTTTCTTGATATTCCTTTTCTTCAGCAAGTATCTATGGGTTTTTTTTTTCTGCTGGAAAACTTGTAAAAAATATTGTACTACTAAACCAGTTAAAAAGAAATCTCAGCTCAGTCTAATTTGACAAGTGAGTTTTCTTAGGAAAAGAATAAACAAGGGTAGGAAGAGGTAAGAGGTGGAGTTTTCAAGAACTATTACTATCTAGAGAATTGTATTCAGTGTGTCTTTAATTTGTATTTCAAAAGAATTTCCCACCTGGGTTAGTGACTCACTTTTCAGAGGAAATTTTCATAAAGGCAAAGCTAATGCAGTTGGACCACTGAGGACACTGTGGGCAAATAACTTTGAGAGAGAGTCCAAACCCCTCCATGTTAAGCAACAGGCAGCCACCCTTTCTCTGTTTGTCTGCTGATGCTTAGCAAAGTACTAGAAGTCCCCAGTAAAAGGGAGTAAACCAAAGTTGCTCTGACTGTTGACTGACTAGAAGTCTACTGGAGCTGTGCTGAGTCACCTAAACTGAGTCTTCTTCACTGCTTAATATTTCTACTTAGTCAAGAGTATTACGTAGAAAGAAGGACAACCAAGAAAAATATATGTTAAGGTGTTAACTTGCTTTTGTGTGTAGTTCCTCCCCAGAATTTGGTCATCGGTCACCCCAGCTTTCCTGATCTTATTAGGTTTACAAAAATGAGAAGGTTACTCCCCACATTCTTCTCTGGTGGATGTTCTCCTGACTGGGATCCTGAACGGCATAAGCAGAGCACTGGGAGTTGTATTTGGCAACATCTGATTAAATGGAGTCTTGTCAAACATCAGTCTTCCAAGATAAACTTCATGGCAGTTTGGGGTTTTTTCCTCTCTTCAGTAGGAGCAGTATCCATGCTGGTAGCAGAGAATTACTGGATTACAACAGTGAGAGTGTTCCATTACAAGCCTGAAATTTCAGGAAGGTCCTTTTAAACACTGTATTATTTCATTGCAGCCTACAATCAATTCATTTATGGCCTGAGCTGAAGACCTTGCTGGAGCTCCTGAAGGGACTCCCCAGTTCTTGAATTTTTTCTGCAAAAGCAGATTCTTCAGGCAGATACTGCACTTTATCCCCCCCTCATTTCACTGCCTATCTGCCCTTTTCAAATGCACCTACAGCTTCTGTCGGGGTCTCTATGCTATCCCTGGTCTCAGAAAAGCCTGTTCATGGGCAGGGGTATGATATTGTGTGCCCTTTGAAGGGCTGGAAGCTAGGCATACTGCAAGCAGTGAACAGGAAGAGGTCGGCCCAGCCTTTTAAGCACCAGCACGTGTGATCTGAATAAAAGTCCAAGTCATGGCTAAAGGATGAGAACTCTGACCACATCTCCTGATTGTTGGGTTAAAGCCCTCAGCCATGGGACTAGTCCCTTCCCCCAGTTCACTGAGGCAGCTGGCAAATCAAAAGGTTACCCAGGCTGCCTCGACTAAGTGCATAGCAGTGCTCTCTCAGGCAGCATTTGCTGGCCCAAACACCTCTTGTGGCCCTCAGGAGGTGAGGCTGGAGTTGACTCAGGCAACAGCGTGGCCATCAGTTGTGTTGTGGCAGATAGGACAAGCTGTTTGCAGTGGGACCTGCTGATCAAGGCCATTTCAGACCCTGTTTGTTGACACAATGGTAGATCTTTGGTGCCTGGGCTCGCTGTTCTCCCCTTGCAGTCCTCTGCCATCTTGATGTGGTTAACACCTGAAAAGAAGAGGTACTTTGAAGGCTTTACCTATGCCAGTAGTCAGCAGGGTGAGGAAACAAATGAGAGTGCATCCTGCCTGTCCTCTATATTACCCGAAGTGTGGGCCATTGGCTTTGTGCTTCTTAGATAGACTCTGTCCAAGTGAAATCAGGTAGGTCCCTATTCTGTGGGACCACAAGTCATACCTGAAATAGTGTGTAGGCAATCACGCCCCTAACACAGGTGGACGCGCCTCAGCTCCTGTCCTGGGATGAATTTCTTCCTGAGCATTTGTGAAACACAGACTTGCATGCTAAGGAAGATACTAGGAAAAACAGCATTAATGTGTTGGGCTCTTCTCTGTGAAGCACATGACTCCTTTCTACATCAAAAAAAGCATTGACGTGATTCAGCTCCCTCTGTTAGACTGCTTGGGTGGGTCCCAAGAGCTTTCCGAGGGCTGGGCAATTTTAAGTGTCAGAGGCTTTCAGTAACTCTGGCTTTCAATTTAAGGGCATTAAGGCAACAGTTTTATTTCTTACAACTCTAGAGCAACTTGAAGATTTTGAACTGTTTATAAAGGTCAAGCTGGTACCTTGAGTTCCCCCCTCCCATGCCCAATACATAATGATTAATTTTTCTTACGGATAATGTATGAATCCTTTTAGCTATTGTGATATTAAGCCAGGCTTGGGAAGTGCGTTGTCTTTACTAGCGCGTGGCAGCTCAAGGAAGGTGATGTTGGAATTTAGATATAAAAAAGAGCAAAAAAGCTAATGTTACTCATGAGATAAGGAAATTCCCAACACTTGACATTTATATTTTAATGTGAGTGAGTATGGAGCCTTGGTCCTTTATTCCAGAGAAAAAGAGAAGGGGGAGAGCAGCATCAGCAGTAGTACAGTACATGAGTGGCACAGCGGTAACTGGCATATGATCCAAGCTGGCACTAACTAGTGAAGCTTGAAGGAATTAATTGGTTATATATGAGCCTTTTATGTGCTGAGTCAATGGCTGACAGTCCCTGTCTGTCTAGATCGCTGCTGTTACTTAGCCACTCAAAGCAATGACATTTACACTGGCATCCTAATGCTAATACAGGAGAAAAAATGCCACAAAATCATAAACAAGTTTTCTTTTTCACCAGGGTGGCTTGACTGTCCTCTCAGGGGTGCATCAGCCAGAGTCAGGGGCAATAGAGGCTGCAGCGATACCAATTGATTTGT